AAAAACGATCATTTTTATATTACACATATTATCAGCATTTTTCCCGTTAAACTGCAAAACTTGTGCATTTCACTCGTTATTATAAAAAGTTTTCCTGAGTATGATATAGCATTTGCGATCAACAAGATGTTGGTTCTGAATACGACCCTGGCCAATTCTTAGGATTTTCAATATCACGTGCGTAGGGCATGTCAATGTTTATATCCACTCTATCTTGGATTTGAATTTGCTTTAGATCCTCATAAGGTATGCAACCTCCTGCTGCCGTGAAGATGTGCATCCACAGCCGATGTCCTGGAGTCCAAATGGAATGACGAGACAAGTGTGCTGTCGTCAGCAAAATATTGGATTCTTGGTTTTTTTCAATATGCTCTGATATACAATAGTTAAAGAGTTTGAGACAATATGGATCCCTGGGCGTTGATGGTGAAAGTATTTGAGATATATCCATCGATGGGCATAAGCAGGGAACGTTCTTTCAGAAAGCTGGAGAGCTATATACAAAAAGGAACCGACAAGTCATAACATCGAAGTTTGGCCAGCAAACCGTCATGTCACACACATGTAAAGAATAATTAATTTTCTGACATGTTTGATATCATTATGATTTGAAACACGAATATACTATTATCCTTAATGAATTTAAGGTAACTGATTGTTATGATACGAGGATTGCCTTTTATATTTCGGGATTAGAGAACAAAAGCAAATATTATTCATCGATATTCACTTTGTTTTTCAAAATATTCCCACTCGGTGCCAAGTCAGTACTATACGGCAGACTCATCAAATCGATGTTTTGGGTGCTCAAAAATGCAGTTGTTTGAGCCGATGTGTGAGAACTCTTGAAAGACAACTGGCAAACAAATGGTTGTGTACCACTCAGAATTGATTGTTCTGCGTTGTTCTAGTGGTACGGTTCCAACATGTTGGATTCGTCTCTTCTTGAAACACCCATACAGTCGACTGCTGTTTACTTTCGGGCTCATACTCGTAAATTCACGATTCATCACCTGTCTCGATGTCATAGACGTGTTTCGAAGAACCGCGATCGTATTTTTTGAGCTTTTCCTTCGACCAATCGACACTAGCCTTTTTTTTAGCGATTGACAAATTGTGTGGGATCCAACACGAATAAATTTTTTCGACAGTCAAATGTTTATGCAATATTGAATGTATGCTGGTCCCACTAATGCCTATATGGTTGTCTCAATATCACGATAGATCAGATGACGATCTTGCAATATCAGTTCGGGCACAGCATCAATGGATTTCGGGAACAACTTTCAGATAATATTACAGCATAATCAAGCATGATTAGAGTTGAGAAACGTCACATATGTTTCCCATCTACCATTGTTTATTTTGGATATTTTTTCTGTCTGTTTTCTATGATTTTTTTGTTTATCCATAAGTTTACCCTTGAGTTTACCCAGAAATTATCGAAAATTTACCGCCCTATATTTTTCTCATTTCAATTCGAGACATATTCTGGATCTGAAACGAAATAATTCTAGTTCTCCAAAATCGAAAAGTTTTGCCCAATTCAACTGACTTTGTAGATCTTTCCGATATAGCGATATTAGCGTGTTACGAATCACACGTTAAAAGGTAAGACCTCGTTAATCCTTAGCTCGCACAAGTTTCTCAACTTCTGAGAGTTGTCGTTCGTATGGGGGCGACAGCTGATTAACGGAAAAACAGATTTTCAAACAGATCTAAAGAAACGGCCTGTATATTTTCACTGCATGAATATTATAATAGTGGTCTGCTAGGTTGAAATGTTCATCTATTTCGAACCTTCCAAAAAGTTTCTTGCTTCCGTTAGAGGTTGAGTCTTGTTTGAAGATCATCAGTGTTATTATTAGATTGACTGGTGCTTCAGCTATACTTATTTCCTTATAACAGTCAGTTAGTTTGGCGCATGTTTGGCAAAACAGTCGATCATCACCTGTTAAAAATTCCATCTTCAGATGATTTAACAATAAGCTTTGCACGGACTGGTTATTAGTCATATTAGGAAAAGCTAGATGAAGTTCCAGAAATTCACATAAGTTTCTGGTACTTCTTGAAAATTTACCACAAAGTAAACAAGTGAAGATTTTTCCAGCAAAAGATTTACAAACGCCAGACGAGATGGGATGTACGGAATCATTCAGATCAGAGCGGTCAGGAGTATTGATTTTGCTATTGTTTTGCTCACGAAGAGTATTCAACAAGGACCCCAAGAATTCGGAACAACCCTCTTGTTGTCCTAACGAGTATCTAGTGGACTTCAAAGACTCCAGGAAATCGGTTATCCAATCCAATTTTCTTCTCTAGATTTTCAGGACAACTATGTACTGATTCGTGAGGAAGAACATGTTTCACAGAATCTCCACAAGAACCATTACTCAAGCTGTGATTGACCCTTCCAAGTGAAGAAGGGTTTCGTAGAGGGCTCGATTCCGCTCTTGCTCCATAAAGCTCTTCCACTGAAAGGGAACCAGTTCTACGAGGACTGCAACTCATATTTGGGGGGCAAGAATGTCCTGAGTCCACTGACCGCACTGAAAAAGAAGAAGGTGGATCAATCACTTGTGAATTAACCTTGATAGGAGACTGATGAATATCCACATATCTCGGCTTGTTTCGAAGAGGTTTCAGTTCCGTACTGAAATTAGGGCAATGCATGATCTCATATAATAAAAAAGGTTGAGTACATACCTGAGTAATTGATGACTTTTTCATTTTGTGGAAATTTATGATCACTTCAGTGAAATGAGTGATAACACTTTTCCACTAATTTTCACTAGTTATTTTATTTGTATGACCGGTTTCGGGTTTTATCCCATTACCAAGTGTGAAACTAACTCAGTTACTAACCTACTTACTACTAACTTAGTTAGTTTTATACTTGATAGTGATAACCGGTCGTAAAAATAACTAGTGGAAATCAGACAGAAGTGTTTTCATTCATTTAATTGAAGTGGCATTCCTAAAAATTTGGCTGTACCAGATAGTTGGTCGTTGGAGTTGGATAGATGGAGTGAGATAGTTCAGGTTCATTGCTTTCTCAAGGAGAAGCTCAAGCCACCTTCTATCGTATGTCACCCATATTTGGAATAACGCAATCGAGAAACGTGGAGAGTCAGGAGCTATTGCGCTTGATATTTCTAAGGCATTTGACCGTGTGTGGCATGGGGGTTTGCTGGCCAAACTTCGATGCTATGGCTTGTTGGGTTTGTGTATGGCTCTCCAGCTTCCCGACATAACGTTTTCTGCAAGTGGTCGTCGATGGATAGCTCTCGAATACTTTTGCCATCGATGCTGGTATTCCCCAGGGATCCACATTGTCTCAAATCCCATTTTTATTGTATATTAACGACCTATTGGAAAAACCAAGGATCCAATATATTGCTTTGTTGACGATAGCACACTGGTCTTGTGATTCCATTTCTTGAAGAGGACCAAGAAGTGATTTCGAATTGGGGTGAAAGTAATCATGTTCAATTCGATGCCACGAAAACCCAGGCATAGCTATTCTTTAAAAAGATAAATGTCTCCGAATCGGCTATAAAATTCCGCTTTTTGCAACTGACATTGAATTTAGAGGTCGTGCAATGAAATATAATTTGTCGGTTTTAATTGACAAGCAAACATCCTGACGGGAGTAGGTTCATTTGGATAAATAATAAGTGGAAAGTGTGTATTGGGTATTGTTCCAAATATATCGTTGCGAATTTGGAAGGGATGACCCATATTTCCGGACTCTTAAAGCTAACTATACGTAAGTCAGTCACGCCATTTTACTTCTCGAATGAAAAAAAAATGCTTCGAAGTAATTTTCTCATTGAATTTTAGTGGCTATCGAAATTCTAACGTTTACATAAAATCATAAGAAGATCAGCAAAACAAAGGCGCAAAGTTCTGCCTCATTTACAAAGTTACGTATACGATCAGGAACAGAAAGGAGGAAAAAAAAGCAACTCTTCTGAAAAGAAGGTAGGTCACGTATATGATGAATTACTCTCGGTTTGCCTAGACATAGTTATTGTAATCACTTCAAAGAGGAAATTTATAAACTTGTCAAAAAATTCCAAGTGTAAAGCAACATCTTCTTTCTGGTAGACAGATGGTTGCTTGTACACATGAATTTCATGATTGTGTTTCTTTTCAAGTAATATTTCCAAAATCAGGCTTTAGTAAAACGGTGGTACTTTATTGTATAGTTGGATATCCGATGTGTTCTTATCATGAAATATATTGAAAATAAGAGGATTACCTGGTACCATGAAAAAAAAATTAAGGAAGTGATTGAGAAAGTTACTTTACCTAATTCATTTCAATGGACTTTATAGTCGTTTCCATTTATTATTTCTAATGCATTAATATACCGGATGGACCTCAGGAGTGTTATGATTGGACTCCACTCTAGACCGATCTGCTACTATCATTAATAGCTTCTTAATTTACTTGCAACCGATATATAGATCATAATGTCTCGTTTTTATATACGGGGGACAGTATAAACATTCAATTACTTTTGGCTTTTCTTATTATATTCCGTTGACGTTAAAATTTAATAAATTTAGGAAGACCAGACCATCTCAATAAATCTTAATGGTTTAAAACTGGTAATCAATAATTCTGGAGAGATTTGACCTCCAGTAGTTTTTTTTGTTTGTTTTGCAAACGTTCGATACTTATCTGATACATGGTTTTTGGTTCTTCATAAGGGTTGTTTGGTACGACTAGATTTTGGATGACACTGATTCTTGGAAGACAGAAAGGGAATCTGGGAACTTACCAGCCTTTACGACAGTTCATTCAACAACCAGGGAGGCATCAAGACACGCAAGTAGTGGGGAAAGCTAGACACCTATAGATTATTGTTACTTATTTATTTCAAGAGGAATATCGAATTTAACCTTTTGCGTCTAACCTATATAAATATTTATGTGGCGTCTGCGCTCTGGGCCCAAAGCTTCTGACGAATTAATGCACAATATTATCGTGCAAACCTATATAGGTTGTACGGTATTGAATCCTATATTTCCATGTCCTTGTGTATATATGTATGTATATAGATATATTGAGTTAGTTCTTTTGTCAACGGGAGTTTATTTATTTTGAGAGAACTCTTTCGAGAGTTGATGTGCAGAAATCGCGAATTTTTTTTTGTTCATTTGTTATTTTTTTTATAGAAATGATTTTCCGGTGAATGTATTCCTTTTGTTTCCAACTGTTACCAATCGGTCACACCGTTGTACAGTGCCATAATAAGAGATCTTGTAATACAAGTTTGGTACTGGTACGTTGTCATTTATTTTTTTATTCCACTTAGTGAATTGGAGGAATAGTTTAATACTCAGGCATTCTATATCGACAATTGAATTTACCTGGCGCCCAAATATTGCTATCAACATACTTTGAACCCACCCCGTCTCCACTGTAGTGAACCGATAGATGCTTGTCATAAAAATCGTGACTGCATAAACCCGTAACAAATGTGGAAATCAAACCTTAAAAATAAGTGGCCTAGACACCCGACGCAATCTTACAAGTTTTGCCGATTCTCTTCCAAACATCGGGATATTGCTGCAGCTGTTGTGCAATTTTCCTGTGACTACCAGTACCTACAACAGAGAGAACTTTCTCAGCTTAGCGTGATTTAAAAACATATCTACGAAATACAATGACTTTACTTTATTGAAATCACCACCACGTGATTTCTATGTGAAGCCAGGCATAGAAAAAACTCTTTCAAAATTCTATTCTCCACACTTTGAAGCGGCATCGGTTCAAAGTTCAGGCAATGCTGCCACCTATCACATTCGCTCTTTCATACACATTGGTCATGACATTGGCCTTTGTTTTATTTGAATTCAAAGATAGGAAGCGCTTGATGGAAGACCCATTATTAAACTAATTTTGCACTTGTTTTTCACAGACATCTGCAAATGTAGAAGTTGAAATTTCTGATGGTCACATACGTGGTAGACAACTTCTAACTGAGAGAAAAACTCCATATTTTGCATTCCAAGATATTCCATATGCGAAACCACCGGTTGGAGACTTGAGATTCAAAGTAAGTCAAAGAAATTATCAAAATAAATGGCTATTGGCAATAATTACTTGGGGAAGATAGTCAGACAATTGAGAGATTATCTAGAATTGAATTTGTTAGTATACAGTTGTAGTGTTTGTATAAAATATTATTAAAGACTATAATGTTTTATGAAACGGTGCCAATGTCCTATTTATAGTTGTTTCATAAACACATTGAAAACATTTCTGGGAGAAAAACAGTTTTATAATTTGTTTCTCCGAAACGTTTTCACAACCATTATAAAATATAAAATTGCTAGTTGGGTTCTTTCTAATTTCTTTGACTAGTTCTGCATGGAATTCGTATAATCTCAATGCAGAAAGAACTCAGTCAATACATTTTCACAAAAGGCAGAAACAAGTACCTACCATTCACGAAAACATTAATTTTGGAAAATGAATCATGTGTAAGATTTCTGGGCCTATACATAGATGAGTGTCTTGACTGAAGGAGACATTGTGAGACAGTAATTTTCAAACTCAGCTATCTATTCGGAAACATTAGATCAGTTTGATGAGGAAACAACAGATAATGGTATATTCAATCACAGGTCGAATCTTGACTAAGAATCACTATAGTTGTATAGTTTTTTTGAAACTTACCATAAATATTTGAAGTGTGTGTTTTTGTAATTTGTTGTTAAACTCCCAAAACTAATAAGCAAATAGACACTAAAAATGCGAGACAGCGAAATGACTCACCCGTGCCATTTTCAAAGACAAATGTTTCATACAGGGTGTTTATTAAACATGCGGCAAACAATTAGGAGGCTATTCCTTGGACTATTCTAGAGCGCTTTGTTTCGAAGATACGGGAAGACAATTACAATTTTAGCAATTTTGAAATTATTAATGTAGCCGAAATAAAAGTATAGCGTACTACACTGGCCTACCAAATAATAAAGAATCTAATAATTCCGTTGGTATCTATCAACAACATTCCGATTACTACAAATAGCTATAGACATTCAATTTGAATAGTATGTCTCGTAAGTGATGAATTGTATGTGTCAAATAGGTTGAAACTGATTGCATCCGAAAGGGGGTATTAATTTTCAACACTTCTTGTAGATTAAGAAACATAACATGTGATTTTTGGTAATAAATTTTTATTGTGAAAATTATTTTTCGCATCGTTTCTTCGAAAGGCCTATCAAAAATCATCAAAGGATAAGATATCCTAAGAATAGTCCAAGGAATAGCCTTTAAATTTTTGCCGCAAGTTTATTAAACACCCTGTATAGATGACTAACTGTGAGTGGGCAAAGGTTGTTCAATAAAATCAAATCGAATCATGTGTAATATTGAAGGCATGCAAACAATGTCTAAGGAAGTACCTGTTGAAAGGTGGATTTTACTCCTTGAAAGAGTTTCAATTCTATTTTTTCTGCTACTGTTTTTTGACAAATTCTAGTTTCCAAATAGATTTGCTTCAATTGGGCACTGAAAAGTCTCTTGTTGAAACAATAAAAGAACCCAGAAGGAAATTTCCAAAAAATACCAGCCCTCACGTTCAATTTTCGAGTTCAATTGTGAACTTGCAGAACGCCTGTTTTTTTTTATTCTTGGTTATCAGCTTGGTCATCATCCTCGTGTTCTGGGTAGGCAATGTTAATAACTCCCCGTGCCATTTGGAAAGCTTCATGGCTATTCATACTACGACAACCACGTAACGTTGCAGAATCGTAAAAATTTCTATTAGATAAACTCTCAAAAAATGCTTTTTTGTCGGTAATTGTCTGTCTGTAATCTATCGGGCGATTTTCATATTGAGGAGTACTTTTATTTTCATGTGATAAATATTTATTTTTGAAAAATGCAACTTGCTGAAATTTCAACAACCATTAATATTTTTTCATCATTTCAACAGTCGACCTTGTGTTTCAGGCGATATGATAAAGAACTATATTGTCATGAAAAATAATGAAAACATTGAAAGTCAATTATGTAACTGAACATTTGACGCATAAGCAGCAATTTTCAAAGGAAGAGGACAATTACAAGATAAGCTTGAAGTACTCGTGGTATATCGACTCAGATATTGAAACGAATTGAAATTTATTAGGAGTGATCCGAAATATTTGTAATTTAAGAGTACCTATGAACTTTGTATGGTTTCCTAACTCTTTTCTGGATCTTGGGCAAGAAAGCGGCACATTTGATCAGCTGAAATGATTAGCTCTTCATTTGCGGAGGCCAGGGTGCAGGCCGATTCTTGTTTTTCTATTTAAATTCAATTATAAGTGTTGAAAAGGGTTACCAAATTAATAGCTCTTAATCGAACGCGATCTAGAAATGATGTATCTCGTTTCAACATTTGTCACTGTAGACCAACTTTGTTACACCGGGATACGGTGGCGGGTATGGAGGGGTGCACTCCCCCCCCCCCCAGAGGATTGAAAATACCCTAGATATAATTTGTTGATGGTAAAGTTAGGTGGTTGTGAAGGTGGAGCTAACAATGTGAAACTAGGAAAATTAGTGGTCAATCCAATGGTAAGTTATGAGAAAGCTGTAGACATATTGAAAAACCATTTCAAAGCGGAGTATCATAAAAAAAGTACGGCGCTTTATCACAACTCTCGTATGACTCATGAGGGTGAAATGTCGTATCCAGCATAAATGCAGCAGAAAAAATAAACAATAATTAAACTGTCACTTCATGTGGTGCCCAAAACATACCTTTGAGAAGGCACAAAGACGATGTTATTATTGAGACAACTGGGAGCTGTTTCAGCGAAGGAAATTTCAGAGCATTGATGAAATTCAGAGTTTACGCTGATGATGATGTTCTAGCCTCACATATAATGAATTGTAGAAGGAATGCCAGTTACACTAGCTCCCACTTCAGAAATATCATCTGCTTTTAATAAAGATAAACCGTGCCTATGCGTTCTCATTGACTTGTCGATCGAGGGCCTTGAGGAGGGCAAGATAACCGCCATCACACTCTGCGACCTATCTAAGGCGTTTGATTGCATCTCTCACTCTATTCTTCTGAATAAGCTGTAGTTCTATGGAATAAGAGGTGTAGCTTTATCGCTCATTGCCTCATATTTAACAAATCGCTTGCAAGCTGTCACATATAACAGCTGTACATCTAATTATAAACCTATCAAACATGGAGTGCCCCAGGGCTCAGTCCTCGGCCCTCTATTGTTCATCATCTACATCAATGATCTACCTAATTTTTTACATCCCTATAGGTCAGTTTTATTTGCTGACGATGCTTTTCAGGTGACACCTTGCCGGATTTGCAACAGTCTGTAAAAATTTCACTCTCAAGTGCCGAAACGTGGTTTTCATCAAATAAACTAAAACTGAATAATGAAAAAACAAAGAATGTCACCTTTTGTTTGTCTAGGACTATGTCGAGTGATAACAGTGTGAAATTGTTAGGCATAAACATAGATAGTAAATTATCTTGGCAAAATCAACGGATGACCTACGAGGTAAATTGGCCAGCTCAATTTTTTTGCTCCGTCAACTGAAGCCAATTACAAGTTTCACAACACTCAAAAATGTATATTTTTCATTATTTCACTCTGTCATTACTAATGGGATTGTACTCTGGGGGAACGCCTCTAGTGCTGTAGATATTTTCCGACTTCAAAAAAAAGCAATCAGGATACTTGCCAATGTGAGTTTTCGTGATCACTGCCAGCCCCTTTTTGCACAATTACGCATATTGCCTTTGCCTTCATTATTCATTTTCTCGGTTCTGCATATCTTATTTTGTTTCTCTATGTGTTGTACTCTTTTTAGATATTATTTGGACTTACTACAAACATTATGTAATGTAAGGTAGTCAATAAACTTTCATTCATTCATTCATTCGATACAGTTGACTACAATTTTTCACTGAAAACACTAGAAGAGATGATGCTCTGAAGTTGTTCAAGAGCTATCTCGCCGAGAGACTTCAGTGTGTAAAAATTGATGGCATTTTGAGTGATACACAATAAACTGTTATAGGATTCCCCTGAGACACAGTTCTGGGTCAATTTCATTTAACATATATGATAATGGACTATATTCCATCAGGAGCAGAAGTGAAATATTGGGCTTCGCACATGATACAGCCATTTTTCACAAGCTGGGAGTAACTGGACCATGTAATTGAATCGGATCTGGTTTTGATTAAAAATCGGTTCGAGCATAGATTATTGGCAGTGAATCTGTAGAAAACTCACTATATACGTTTCGGTTACAATAATTCCAGCAAACCTTATTTGTCACTAAATATTGATCAATATGTAATACTTCCATACTCAACTTCGCCCTCTTAAGGAAAACAGGTCCATGAAATTAATATTGTCCTAACCGCCTTATTATTCAACTGAAACGCTGTTCAACGGAGCAAGAGTTTTTGATATTCGCCAGTTCTTTTATTATAATATTATCATCCATTACCGTAAGAACAGAATTTTCGCTCTACCGGCTCACTTGCACAACAACCGCAGAAAAAATGATCATGTTATTCCCCAGACACGAAATTCAATTTTCCAACACTCTCATACTTACCTGGCTCCGAAACTGTATAATACTATTCCTGAGAAGATTCGAAATTTTTGAATAATTTACTCGTTAAAAAAAATTGAGAATATTCATTTTTTCTCATTCTAGGATAGTAGTTTCCGATTTTGTTGACAAAAAAATACTTCAATTCAATGTTTTTGATTAAGTTCTATCATTTCAATTAGGCAACCACACACTACATCGTTTTATTTATATTAGATATTTTATTGTGTTCCAATTATTGTGTCATTTTCTTTCACTATCATTAAGGTTATAGGTATAACTTCATATCCTATATATCTGTGTTTTAATTAATTCTTAATCAAGCACAATGAAACTATAGAATGGTGTGGCAAAGTTGTAACTGACAACATTGTAAATGAAATGAAAGAGTCTAAGTTTTTCACAATAATGGCTGATGGGATCACAGATTTGTCTGTTAAAGAACAACCTGAAATTTGCATAAGGTACTTCAATACCAAGGAATACAAGATGGAAAAATATTTCATCAAGTTGGTGGATGTGGTGGATCTCAGTATTGAAAAGTACTAGGTAAGATTGGCCTTGATGTGGCTAATTGCCTAGGACGAGCTTTTGATGAATCCTCCAATATGAGTGGAATATTTAAGGGTTTCCAAGCCACTGTGCTGACCATACGCTAAACTTGACTACAAGCAACGCTTGTTCCGTTGCTGGTATCAGAAATGCCATAAGAGTTATATCTTCCCTCAGTCACGCGGCGTTGGAAGCTCTTGGCTCTCACCGAGCAAATTGGTCCAAATTGGTAGCAAATTGCCAAAAACGACTCTGGTTGATAGGAATACTTAACAGATTGTCTCTGGTCCGGATTCCTGGCCATACTGGCCTGGAAGGCAATGAGGGTGCTGAATCCCTTGCAAAGGAGGGTGCTGCAAGCAGTTTCAACAGACCAGAAACTGTCATTTTTATCACTTCAGGCTTTGCCAAACATAGAATGAACACCTGGATGGCAAGAAGAGTTATGGACTTCTGGCAGAATCTTCCAGGATTGGCTCACTCCAAGGCGTTTATTCACTCGTCGAAGCTTGATACCAAACAGTTGTTGGATTACAGTAGGGATGAACTACGATGTCTAACGGGCCTTCTTACAGGTCACTGTCATTTGAATCGACTCGAACTGTCGGAAAACATTGTGTGTCGCGTCTGTTTGGAAAATGATGAAATAGCAGAGCACATACTTTGTGCCTGCCTGGGTTTATTTGGTCGAATGTAAATAGGTGTGATCCACAATAAACCCTTGCGGGTTGCGGTGGAGGGTTGAATATACCCATTCACTTCGGACCTAATCTAACCTAACCTATATCTTCCCTTGCAAATTTTCGAGATTCAAAGCTGTGGAAGAAAAGATACAGGAGAATCATGACCTTGAACTAGGAAAACATGGTTTGAATAGACCATTGAAACAAGATGGATAGAAAGGACGATCATGGAACACTTTCCTGCACCCTCATTGTCTTTGAAGCCATTGTCAGTTCACTGGAAGGCTTGGTGTAACGGTCTAAATTTACTTGTAAATATTGTAGATATTGTTCGTTTATTTATTATGGAATCGACAGAATTGTCATTTATTGATGACGAACTTTTCGTCACAGCTAGGGACACATCTGGTTTGTCAGTGTGCCCAACCTACATTTTCAAAGAAGTTGTTACGTTTCAATTTAGCACTAGATCAAACTGCTCTTATGTGACCTTTCAAAAACACNTTTTTTTGTTCATTTGTTATTTTTTTTATAGAAATGATTTTCCGGTGAATGTATTCCTTTTGTTTCCAACTGTTACCAATCGGTCACACCGTTGTACAGTGCCATAATAAGAGATCTTGTAATACAAGTTTGGTACTGGTACGTTGTCATTTATTTTTTTATTCCACTTAGTGAATTGGAGGAATAGTTTAATACTCAGGCATTCTATATCGACAATTGAATTTACCTGGCGCCCAAATATTGCTATCAACATACTTTGAACCCACCCCGTCTCCACTGTAGTGAACCGATAGATGCTTGTCATAAAAATCGTGACTGCATAAACCCGTAACAAATGTGGAAATCAAACCTTAAAAATAAGTGGCCTAGACACCCGACGCAATCTTACAAGTTTTGCCGATTCTCTTCCAAACATCGGGATATTGCTGCAGCTGTTGTGCAATTTTCCTGTGACTACCAGTACCTACAACAGAGAGAACTTTCTCAGCTTAGCGTGATTTAAAAACATATCTACGAAATACAATGACTTTACTTTATTGAAATCACCACCACGTGATTTCTATGTGAAGCCAGGCATAGAAAAAACTCTTTCAAAATTCTATTCTCCACACTTTGAAGCGGCATCGGTTCAAAGTTCAGGCAATGCTGCCACCTATCACATTCGCTCTTTCATACACATTGGTCATGACATTGGCCTTTGTTTTATTTGAATTCAAAGATAGGAAGCGCTTGATGGAAGACCCATTATTAAACTAATTTTGCACTTGTTTTTCACAGACATCTGCAAATGTAGAAGTTGAAATTTCTGATGGTCACATACGTGGTAGACAACTTCTAACTGAGAGAAAAACTCCATATTTTGCATTCCAAGATATTCCATATGCGAAACCACCGGTTGGAGACTTGAGATTCAAAGTAAGTCAAAGAAATTATCAAAATAAATGGCTATTGGCAATAATTACTTGGGGAAGATAGTCAGACAATTGAGAGATTATCTAGAATTGAATTTGTTAGTATACAGTTCTTATTTCAACAAATGGAAAAAGTTCCAATGGTGTAAAGTCAGATGATCCAGGAATTTACCACGGAAACAAAAGAGTACCGGGCTGGGAAATGTTATGCGCAATAAGACATGTGACACCTTCTCAGCTGGATAAAGTTAACAACTTCAATACACTGTAGTAACAAGGGTTTCAGTATAAAAATAGAAAAGTTGTTTTTGTCGTGTCAATAGAATATGTTGATATTTCATTTCGTTATAGGAACCTGTGAAACCTGAAAAATGGGAAGGAGTTCTGAATTCAACGGAAAACCGAAGGGTTTGCATCCAATTCAGTGACCCTTCTGATCCGAGAGAAACCGAGGATTGTTTGGTGCTGAATGTTTATACACCAGTGGTAAATATAAAATATATTTTTTCAATGACACATTTTGTGTATCTGCTGTTTTTTTGGGTATATTTCATAAGCCTATTTTGAACTATATGACTCCAATAAATACGTATCCAATTCAAAACAAAGACTCCCCAATTACTAGAATGTGTGATTCTTCCAACAAACACTGTGGTAACGTAGATTCTTTTTCTGTTACGTTCAATTCCTTTAAAATAACTTTGAGAAAATATTCTAAACATAGCAAAAATGATGGATAATTGGTTGGTACGTACGAAATTTATCAATTCCTTGATTTTTGTTTTTTCTTATATCGGCTGTCACCGAGTATCTCTGTAACCACTACTATTAGTAGATGCTTCTATGAGTAGATTCTTCTATGATTATTTACCTGTTTGTATCCCAGATTTAGAATAAACAAATCAAAATAGCCTAAAAAATGTATCAGGCATTTGGCAATTATAGTGTTACTGAAGACACTATTCGACGTTGGTTTAGAAAAGTTCATTCCGGAGATTCTAGCCTTGAAGGTGAGCCTTGAAGTGTTCGACCTACAGCAATCCAGGTCGAGGATTTGAGGAATCTGGAGAAGACTGACCCATAACAAACGGTGCGTGGGATGGCGAAAAAACTAGGCATCAGCTCTCATGTTGTTTGATGGTTCAAAACATTTTGGAAAGATCAAAGAGCACCAAAAGTGGGTGCCCTACAGAAATTATCATGTTTAGAGGTCTGTTCTTCTTTGCTTCTGCGCAACCAAAACGATCCTTTTTCGGATAGGATCGAGAAGTGGATCCTCTACGACAATAGGACAGTGGTTGGACGACCATTGGCCACCCAGGTACTTTCCAAATGCGAAAACCCATCATAAAGACCATGGTCACTGTACGGTGGTCAGCGGCTGGTGTGAGTCTCTATAACTTCCAGCAGCTGGGTCTAACCATTACAGTAGAGTCCTTTTGTGACGAAATGACGGAATGTACCATGAATTGCGTCAACAGCAGCCCGCACTGTTCAATATGAAAGGTCTGATCATGTTTCAAAATAACGCCTGTTAGCAAGTTTCACAGATTCCCGTCCGAAAATTTAATGATTATTTTTCCAAATGAAAGACAAGTACTACATGAAAAACCTTGAGGCGCTCTTAGAGTTAGTTTAGGTTAGGTCCAACGTGAGTGAGTCTATTCGATCCTCCACCGCAACCCGAAAGCTTCCTAACGAAGTCGATTAGTTGGTATGGTGAGTGGTCTTTCAGGTCAGTTGGTAAGAGTACGGCTCTGCCGAACTCTACAAACCTGATTAGGTCCTCAGCGGGGCAGGCACAAAGTATGTGATCTGCTGTTTGATCATTTTCCAAACAGAGGCTACGCACACTGTCTTCCGACAGTCCAAGTCTCTGCATAGATGATTCAAATGACAGTGACCTGTAAGAAGGCCTGTTAGACATCGTAGTTCATCCCTACTGTAGTTCAACAACTGTTCGGTATCAAGCTTCGGCTCTAAAAGTAGTGCTTGTGCGAAAGCAGTAATTCACGTTGTATTTGAATTGCTGGAGTTCTTGAATATCGAAGTTTGAGGTACACTTTGTTGAACCTCAAAACGATGAGCAGTCACAGTCCGTCGCGTATTTCTGATATGTACTGCCTCCCCCGTGGAAGTATCTATAAAAGAGAGATGAATGTTCATCCTTTGTCCGATGTTCAAGGGTGCAAGTGATGTTCGTGTCTCCAATCAGGCGGATGACTCTTTCTGCATTGAATCCAACAGCTTCAAGGTATGCTTAGTGAGAAAGTTCCATACAAGAGAACAATACTCCAAAGAAGGTTCGATCTGAGCTTTATAAAGCATCAATATTTGCTGAGGTCTGTATAGTGTTCTGGTTCAAACAAGTGTTTCAAGCTTTCGAGAACCTTCCTTCGTAATTCCAGCGACATTATCGTGCCAAGACATATTAATGTCCGTTTCAACCCCCAACAAACTTATCGAAGCAGGAAGCGTAATTGTCTGTGACGACATTCGAGGGCATCTCAGATATCTTCGGTTCGGAGATTTTTAAGATGCCCCCACTTGGAGATCCGATTGGGGTGCTATTTTACCTCCGTAGTATTCGACCCTAGGAGCGCCAGCATGCAATTTTTCCTCATTTTCCCACCCTTGAAACAGCTGGCACGGATCGAAACGTCAGCCCTGAAGCAATTTCACGCTGCCTAAGCCTATACAATGATATCTCACTGGGCAATGCCCAGCATCTACCAATAGCGTCAAATTTCTGTCTCATCCACTATACTCCCCAGACCTGTCGCCAACGGACTACCATCTTGTCAAGTACTTCGATAACTTCTTCACAGATAGAATTTTCGTCAATTAGAACCACAAATAATGGCCTTCATCTACCTCATCGAATCCCAACCACACAATTTTCATGCTGACGAAATTATTCGACTTGTGTAACTTTGGCGGAGGTACACTGATTTAAATGAGGCTCATTTCGATTGCATTGAGTATTCACTGAAATATTAAGGACACAACTTCTGGAACGAACTGATAATATATTGGTTCGAAGTTCCTTTGTCGTTAATCGAATTAGCTAGTTAATTCGCCTTAGTTCTGGAGATACAAATCATTTATATTATAATACTATCGCCCAGTGTATTACAAAAATCGAAAACTTTCTAATGTGACGTGACGTCATAACTTAGTGTCAATTTTTCCTAATGGTGATAGTTTTTCATGTAGTATAAATGATATCCATGGAGTCATCCTGACCTTCAATCGATGATATAATAACTTTGTATACTAAAAATGCAATTTACTGTTTCATATTAGATATCTAGTTTCGAATTTTGCAGTAATTGGTGATTTTAATTGTTGGAAGTAAACAGCTTTTAGGCAACTATCTGTATTGATAAAAATGATAACAATTGATATGAATATTACTGGAGTTTTTTCCCAACACCAAATCGTTATTTTCACACGTGTTTCGATCACCAAGTGATCATCTTCAAGTGTCGAGGTGTAAAGATAACGATTTGGTGTAATATTCATTAATACACCAAAGGTTTCAAACAGTATATCACAAAAACAATTGATATAATGATACGTCTTCATTCACTATATCAAACCAAAATAAATACAACAAAATAGAAAACTTTGCACTTTCTTCCTGGTGACGGCGAGGAAGAGGAATGCATTTTCGCATCCTCAACTATCAACATAACGATCTAATAGAGACATTTGATGAGCCGATCTAAAAGGTTGAGATATGGAGTTGGAATGACGTGTTATGAGACTGGAATTTTTCAATTCATCAGGGACATCCAAATCGATTCTTTTTTCACAATATCGAGCGATCATGAGGTTTTTCAAGTTGATTTAGAGATTTTATTTCGTAATGAGAAATTAAAATTTGCATCGAATCGCATTGCATGTATAATTTCTGAGTTTCTTATAATTCTTGCGAATTCCTGCAAAAATATTTTACGGTGGTGAATCATTCGAACACACTTAAGGAATGGTAAATACCTTTGGTAAATACTTTGGAAATGTCTATACACTGATGGAACCTGAGTTGGAAAACATTCAATTCAATATCAGCTATAACACAGTAGATATCAGCTCTGGACCAATAATAGAAAAAGAAATTTTAGATGTGGGTTACAAACTCAAACAAAAATCACTTCAGGTTCTGACAATATTCCATCATTCATTATGAAAGATTGTCTGAGAGTATTAATTCAAATCATCTAAAAAAAAATCGTTCCCACACTGTAAGTTAATGGACTGACACCTATCAGAAAACGACTACTCCCCTGGATGATACCACGAAGGGAGTTGGATTAAATTCGACAGGTGTCAGTGCAGGATTCTTCACCGAAGTGAAGCAATATATTTTCAATCATTGGGACACACTTACAGACCGGTTTCGGGCTGTTTGGCCACTCGTCAGTTTGATGTTTCGATATAAAGTCGATGATTTTCGATAATTGAAAATCGAATTCTTCATTCTTCGAACTAGGCTGAAGCGGACAACAAACAACGGGTTCGTCATCGCCCCATGAAAAAGGTAACCAACCGCATATCTGAAATTATTATTATTATTTTTTGAACAGTAGTTTGTACTGGACAGATCTATCCCCCGAAGTAGGCTCTGCACCTTTTGTCAGGAACATCTATACCCATCACGTGACTGCGGTAGACTAAGGTGTTGCAGACACCATCCTGGCAAGTCATGATGAACCCCTCAGTTTCTGACTTCAGCCGACTTGACCCGAGGAAAGCGTAAGTCAGGCGCTTTGATAGGCCAAGGTCTTCAATGTTATTGAACATTGACAGAGTTGTGATCACCTCATTCAGTGTCGAAAACTAAACAGTGTTTATTAGTTGCTCGGTCAGCTGCCCTAAAGAGAAATGCTCCAATTCCTGCTTTCTCATGATCGCGAACCATGCAGAGAAGGGGATCCGAACTCCTGACGACTTTACAGGCTACATACAGTACCATTCTGTCATGTAGACACTACAAACCTAAAAGTCCACGGCCTCCCTGTTGTCGGCGAAGTATATCCGTGGAACGGATGATTTGGGATGAAAACTCCAATAGAGATGCATCATTTTTCGGGTCTTTCCATTGAGTTGATACAATTACTCACGAGTCCATTTCACTACTCCAAACGAGTAGAGTAAGATTGGAACGGCAAGCATATTTGTTGCAGCAACTTTGTTCTTCCCCGGCAGTTCGATGACCAGATCTGTCGAAGTGTGTGCTGACATTTGCCGCGAAGAGAGTTCTTCACTGCTGTTACTTCTTGTGATTGGCGTTGTTCCACCCCGAGGTAAGTATACGTCTCTCCGGCATCCAAATGGTGTCCTCTTTTGAGATGGGCCATTGCACATTTGTCTATCCCGAATTTCAAACCAATAGCATGCGTGTATTTTTCCACTACCCTCAAGGACTAATGGAGGTCCTTCTCTTATCTCCAGAGGCATAAAGTTCAAGATCATCCAGATAAAATAAATGGGCGACCTTGTGCCTTCGGTTTTCGGGGGTGCCACAGTTATACCCTCGAGTATTTCTGAGCGCAACGGATAATGGTAACAGTGAGATGCAGAAGAGAAGGAGACTGAGGGAATCGCCACCCCTTCTGAAAGTGACCCACCCTGTAATTATTATTATAACTAGTCCAGTCGGCGAACGCAAACTACTTTTTGTATTCACTCAAAGCACGGTTCTTGAGTGAGATAATTTCTATTATCATTTTTATATTATTTCCACGTTCTAAGTATTATCCAGATATAGTATAGCAGAGGTTCACAAAGCAACATGATAGAACCCGCCCAGAATAATATTAATCGTCATAACAGATTTTGGTTGCTTCACAAGTTTTGTCCGTTTTAATGTCATGTGTATACTGATAGATAGAAAACTTTTCAGTCTGCATATCAAATTTTGAATTTTTTGCTCCTTTCCAGCTCATTACTATATGATGTCGTTAAGTTATTTTCGGTCAATTTTCCTCTAAGAAATTCAAATTGAACCAGCTTCGAGGATAAGCTCCAAAGTTATCAACATACATTAATCCAAGACGAAGATTTGAAGATCCAAATGGTGACTGACACATCAAAAATGGTACGTGGGAGGGGTGTCGGCTACTATGTGGTTTTTGATCCTTCAAAACGTAATGGAAAAGACAAAATGTTCGAAAAATGGGTGCCCAACGATTTGAACGATCGACAGAAACTGTCATGTTTTGAAATTTGCTCGTCTTAGCAACCAAAACGATCTTTTGATGAATCGGATCGTCACGTGATGGAAGTGGATCCTTTACGACAACAAGAGACGTTCAGGACATTGGTTGGATACCAATGAGCTACTAAGCACTTTCAAAAGGCGAAAACCCAGCACCATGGTTACTGTATGGTGGTCAGCGGCTGGTGTAATTCACTAGAACTTTCTGTAACTGTGCCGAACTATCACAGCAGAGTCCTTTTGTGAGGAAATGGATAAAATATACCGAAAATTGCGGCCTTCGTTGACTTCATCAAATATCGAGCACACAATTTTTATACTGACGGAATCGATCGACCTGTGTGGCGTTGGCAAAAGTGCACTAGTTAAAATGGCGCTTATTTGGGTCGGATTGAATGAGCATTTCAGTTCAAAGTAGACTCACGAAAACGTGCTAAACTTTTGAATCTACCCAATACTTTCTTGTGATATAGTCTCAACAACTCAACACTGGTGAGATATTTTATTATTTCCAGAATTCAGAGAAATTAGGAACGCATGAATTGGCAGTTTTGGTATGGATTCACGGAGGAAGCTTTCGTAGATGGTTTGGTGCGATGGATTCTTTTGGACCAGATTATTTCATTGACAAAAATGTGATCGTGGTAACACTCAACTATAGATTGGGTCCACTTGGTAAATATTTCCAACTGGTGCTTCATAAAACTGACGATTGCCTCAAAAAAAAACTGAAACTGATTACTTTGATCAATGATTCGTACCTAATACTTATTCCTGGTCACAATATCAATGTTTGTGTTTGTAACGAACTCTCCATCGCTATACAGTTCTTCATTTTCAGGATTTTTAACAACTAATGATGGCGTTATTCCGGCTAACAATGGCCTAAAGGACCAGCATTTAGCTCTGAAATGGGTTAATGAGAACATAGAAGTGTTTGGCGGGGACCCAGCCAAAGTAACTATAGCAGGTCAAAGTGCGGGAGCGGCATCTGTAGGTTACCATGTTATGAGCAAAAAGTCTGCAGGTAATTACAAATTGAATGATAATAATAATAATACTGCCATAAAAACAATATCAAGTTGAAAATGGGAAACTGTCAATACAATGAAATGAAGAAACTGAAGGTTAATTATCAGAATTGAATAGGTGATGGTGAAAGAAGACGATACCAAATGATTATTGAAAAATTCTGCTAGTGTATAATATCAATTTTCTAACAGATATGATTTCAGTGTTTGTTTGAGAATATAAAATTGTTCTGAAGCCTTCACATATTCATATGTGAAGGCTTCAGAAGGCTTTCATATTCGCAATCGGCACATGAAATTGGTTTTGGATTGTCGTATCGTGGTGGTGCAATTAATACATTTTGTGCTGAAGTTGATTCTCATAAAAAACAAACACCATACCCAATTTCCAGAGTCTACATGAGCATATTGAATATAAAGAAACTGAGCTCTAGTCAATATCGATCTTGAATTGAAACTTCCGGGAATTCAGTTTAGATATCAGATGGTGGCAATGACTATTTCAATTCAAGAATTCATCCAGAACTACCACCATCACCTCTCATAGATATATTATTCACATTGAACTGGAGATTTTCAATTTTTTTCCGGCGATTGTTAATACTAATAACCTGTGTTTTATCTGAGTTGAAAACTAGTCAATACTGTATACATAGAGAATGTACAAAATAGGACCTAATACGGAGCCTTGTGGTACACTCATTGTTATGTTTCTATGTTCAGAGTTAAATTTGAAATAACTATTATTTTTCTCCATTTACAATGACACAAAAATAATCCCGATTCTAGAGGAAAGAATTCATCCAACTGAGTGAAACACTTCTGATACCATTATATTCAATTTTGAAGCTAGTTTTTCATGATCGAAACAGTCGAAGGCACGGCTCAAATCACACAGGAGTACTCGGATATTCACCTGCATTTGACGTATTCTCATGAGCAAAAATTCTGCAGGTAATTGCAAATTATATGATACGTATTCAGTGACAATGATTTCAAGATAAACAGGACAAATGTCGAATTTGATAAAAGAAAGTTATTGGAGAAAAGTTTTTTGACTCTCCACCTCTCTATGTTCATACAAAAAATTGTATAAAAATATAGAAAGCCAAAAAGCAGTTTTTCACCTCAAAGTTATCTCTCCTAGAGAATGTACTCTTTCCTCATTGTTCAAATGAAATAACAATAAATATAACTGATTTCACAGTATACGAAGGGTTATGGTAATTGAGAAAAAGCACATTTGCATTCGTTTTACTGGGGAAGAGAGTTGCTATTCTCATTCACACACTCAGTATAATTCAGCAATAACAACAGTGATTAAAAGGCAAGGGCTTTATCATCAATCCATATTCTTTAGGTAAGGAAGTACGTAATTAAAGCACTATTAGATCGAAATCTTCTTTTCCAAAAATACCTCCCCTGAAATTATACAAAATGAATGGAAAAAATGTGTTTTGTATAATTCAATGTTCATATAAAAGAAGCTGTTTTGGAATTATTTTTTCTTTCGTGTAATTCAATGCTATAATGAAAGTAGTTGGTTAGAGAGGGATATTTCTTTCAGTTTGTGTCTGAAACTTACTTTTCTGCATGATCTTCACATCTTTGTGAAGATTTTATTTCGAAGATTTCTACATTTTTTGTATGAAGATGGAAAAGTAGAAAGCCGAAATCTTTCTTTTCCAATGAATGATGAATGGAATTTCATTCCATTCATCTATTTTCAAATCTCCGATGATTGATTCTACCTCGACTTTTCACCACGTATATGATCAATCAATCCAATATATGATTCTTACTTTTTTTCAGGGTTATTCAGAGCAGCTATTATGCAGAGTGCCTGTCCTTTGACTTGTTGGTCCTTACAAAAATATCCGGAAGATGCTGCAAAATTGTTGGGATCCAATCTGAAGTGGAATTCTAGGGTTTTATCAAAATTATTATCAGCAACGAAAAATATTTCGTCAGATGATCTGCTGAAAAAGTTACAGAGTGCTTCGATCGCAGACCTCAAAAAATATTCAGATATCAATGTGAGTGCAGAATCAACAAACCTCTTGGGTGACTACAAATCAATGACTGCTGAGTGGAAAAATAAACAATGTGTTTTCAGAAATTTTCAGGTTATTTCGAAAAAACTGGAAAATATCTAGAAAATATCGATTCGTACCTAAACTTCATGAGTTTCGAGTGATGCAGTTCAAGAAAAAAAAGCTGAATTATATTTAGATTATTATCATCATGCTAAGCGATTATATCTGTACAAAACTATTTTCATCGGTCTGATTTACCTTCCACTAACATGCCTCATTCTGTACTGATATTATGAAGAGAAAATATTAGATTATGTGTATTTTTGTCGCAACGTCTAGCGTGGTATTAGCTAAGGAAGTAGTTGTTTTTCGACAGGCATTTACCGGAACCTACCTTGTGGGTTTGTTGGGAGAGATTGATGTTTCGAGATAATATTTTGATAATGATTGATAATAATTGAAAAACAAAAATTGTGAGATGAAGACCATTATTTCAATTTGACTGATTTTAAATTCCTCCACGGAAATGGAATATTGATTTCTTGCCAAATTTTGAGCGATATGATTTACCTTTGTTTGTTTTTCATCATAATCAATATCTAAATATCACATGATGATGCATGTTATCTTTATGGATGCAACTTTTACCACACCTATGACAGTGAAACATATCTGTAGGGATATTCAGTACACGCGATGTCAAACTGACACCTGTGAGTGAGTGGCCATTCTGTTGAATGTTTTTCCAAAAAGTGGGGAAAAATATTACATAAGCGTCCTCAAACTCACTTCAGGCTTATAATATTGCACTCCGAAAGCATCGTTGTCCATGCAGCTGAAGGTCATTCAGGGTCGAATCCCTTAATCTTCGAAACGGCCACGTGAATCATTGAAGGTCGCTAAAGGTCAAACACCACCTCAAAGTGTCCTTGCCTGCGTCGTGTCACATAGGCCAAAGTTCAAGGTCAAACTCAGAACACTACATCAAAGTCACCTTGGCTGCGTTGTTCGACGTAGAGGTCATTTCAAGACTAAAATAGGTGGAGGTAGATTCCGCAATCGGCTTGAACACACTACTTATTATATAAAATTGTCGTAGGTTCAAGATATTGATTTGAATGTACCTATTCCACGAAATTTTAACATTCATCTCATTTTTTTCTGAGCAGACCATGAATTCGTTCCATGATGAATTTTTTTATTGATATATATGACTTCATCATGGAGATTGATCGTGTATATGAAAAATTCTTTTCAAATTTTAAAAATTTGATCTTACGTTCAGAGTTTATACATTTAGGTACTAAAGTTGAATTATTGTTAACATATTTCCTGACGATATGACTGTAGTTACAGGTACCATTGTCCAAGAAGAACTGTCATGCCTTCACTTCTCTAACATGGACTCCTGTGATCGAAAATGAAGAAGACGAGAATGCTCTGGTAACTGGAATGTCTCACGAAAATATCAAGGAAGGAAATATCAACAGAGTTCCTGTTCTGATGGGAATAAACTCTGAAGAATCATTATTATTCGGTAAAGCTTTATACAGTTTTATATTTATTCCACTCTAATGAAAACCTGAAATTGTTTTGCGATTATATCAACCAAATAGAAATTTTGAAGACGAAACTGTTAGTTATGGAACTTACTGGATAATATTGTGTGATAGTATTCGTTCCTTTGTTTTCCTGATAGAAACTATTTTCATATGAATACCAGAAGTTTCGTCTACTACTGCGGTAACGCGATAACTACGACACTGGTTTTATATCATTATCAGTAGGCATGGCTTCGTTTGTCTCAATTGGATTAGCTGACGTTGTTTGTGTACCTGTAAGAATAGGTAACCAGATTATATTGATGTTCATTACCTCTTTTTTTTTTCTATAGAGTTGGTTCTAGAATAGGTTTTATAGGTTTTTCTATAGAACCTACCCCTGTGTTTTTCAATTTCTATTGCCTGTTTATATAATCTAGGATAGTAATTTTGAGTTGTAGATCTTTCTATCGCCTACAATTTTGCTGCTCAACTTTTTCCATAAGACTTGTTGTTTTGGCGGAAATTACGATAAACCGTTTTTAACCCTTAAAAACCCATCCTTTTCCACTTCCCGACTTCAGATCGACCGTGAATTATTTTTTCCTAACTTTTTGTTGTATTTCTTTCCTTCTTCAGTGATTCTCACATTACTCCCATATTTTTTCGTTTCGAAACTTATCGGCACTGAACATCATTGTTCAAGTTAGAATATCCTCATTTAGTTTTCGGTTTTACTAGTAGAAAGGTACCACGTCATCAATCTCTAAAATGGTCAATTCTCGTCCATTCGAAGAAGAAATTGATGCGATTTTTATTTACGGTGCGACGCGTAACTTTCACGAGAACAAAAGGATTTTCAATGAACGTTTTCCGAATCTTCCTACCTGTAGAAAATATTTGAGGGAACTTGTATCCAAATTCACAACTACCGGTAGTGAACACAACAAAAAGCTCTCAGGTCATCCGCTCATTCCGGAAGAACAGCAAGTGCAAATAATTGGTGAGATGGTAGTAAATCCTAAACAGTCTACTTATTCCGTCGCGAATATTTGTGAAGTGTTTCCTTCTATTGTTTGGAGACTTTTGAAGAGGAATAGGTATCATTCATACAAAATTTAAAAGGTACACCAATTAACTGAAGAAGACCCTGATCGAAGAACATAATCCTGCGAAATCATGACGGAAACCTTTGCAAGGCATCCTACCTCTCTCCACAATATTTGTTTCAGTGATGAATGTACATTTTTTAAACGACAATGTTCACAGACAAAATTGCCGTTATTGAAGTGACACCAACCCTCACGTTTTCTGGGAAACACATGCCCAATATTCAGAAAAAATTAACTTTTGGGCAAGGATATTGCGGAACTATATTGTAAGACCTCTATTTATACCTCTATTTATTGATCAAAATTCAACATCACTGAAATCGTCGAAGCGAATCCTAATGAATTCGATATGGATACACTATAACAAGATGGAGCACCACCTTATGACTCAAGACAAGTAAGAAACTATTTTGATACTACTTTTCCCGGTCGTTGGGAAGCCGTCGAGGTCCTACAGAATGGCCAGCCCGCTCGCCAGATTTGACACCTTTGAACTTTTTTATGTGTCTGTTCGAAGCGAAAGGTGTACGAAATTGAACCTGCTTCAGTATTGGATATACGGCAGAGAATAATAAATATTTGTAGAGATATTGACGTTACTGTGTTCGAAAATATCGGATAGGCTGTTCATATGTCAAGAAGTTCAAGGCAACCATTCCGAGCATCTTTTGAATTGACCCTAAGCTTATTACCTCATATTATGTAGTTGAATTTCAATGTGTTCAGGCAATTATTGAAAGTTCCGCCATTATGTAGCAGTGCAAGATATTGACTTTATATTCTAGGCTTGTGAAGCATTTGTCAGGAGCTTCAAAAATATGTGTCACAAGACCCCCTTTCCATTTGATTTTTTTTCTCAGATGGCGTCCAGTCGCCATCTTGAAAGTTTCATCTGTCAATTTCACTTCACAATAAAATATCCATGCATTAATTTCATTAACACAAATTTGAATTTTTTGAGTTGATCCGTTCAAAAAATATAAGTGGGGAACATCAAAAAAATGCACTGTATACAAGGAATACAAAAGTGTTCACAGAAATGTTATTTCTCAATATTTATAGTCTATATCTATAAATAGTTTTCAAAATTGTCACGAAGTTGTCATTGAGTTCGGATTGGACCGTGTCTGGAGTTTTGTATTCGACGTTTCGGCTCCCTTTCTGGAGCCAGTTTCAAGAATTTGATGTGACTTGACACCAGGGCCTTAATCTGCCCACTCTTCAGGTCTCGTTATGAATTCTTTCTAAGGTCTCAATCTGCCTACTCCTTAGATTGAACTCAGATTAGATCGGAAACCTATAACACAATTTGACAGCGTATTGGATGATATGTTCGCACATTTGCATTGAAGAGTTCAAAAAATAGTTTGTTTGTGATTGTTCGTAACGGAATGGATGTTGATGCCTACTAATATAAGTAGGAGTATTAGATAAATGTTACTAAGGATAGCAAACAAATCCACGGAATTATTTATGAATTCAAAGAATTGACATACTTATCAGGTACAGTCATTTATAATAAGTCTTTTGAAATTGATGTGAACAAATGATGTGAGAATGATTATTATTGTCATTATTCTAACACCTCTCCATCAAAACAATAGAGGAAAGTCGCCTAATGTGGGGGTAGTGCCTATTATGAGGTAGTTCAATTTTAAGCAAGTACTTGTTACGACACCTATTGTGAACATTACAAACTAACGACCGACTTCCTAGAAAGCGCCCATTCACGTTTTGGAGCAAGCTCGTGTTGCGTCTCGATGATTTAGGTTATGGTAATTTTGTGTATGAATAAACATTTCTGGTGACTGTTGCATTTTAGATATTTAACTAAACTCGAAGGTAGGTTTTTAAAAACTCAATAATATCATTCCATACAGAATTTGGCGTAGTTTATGGAAATGGTTTTGTTTTTTTAAGAAAACGTCACAGTTTTTTCACGAACATTCCCCTTTCAGAAATGTAATTTGCTCGTAATATGGGGTACCTATCAATTCCCAATTTGGGATACCCCATATTAGGGTGCGCAGACCCACGGTATACCTCAAACGACCTCAGAAAGGTACGTAAAGATGAAGGGAGCGCCTGAAGACATTGTGAATTCTTGGTTAGAACGAAAGATAACCTTTCCAAAAGAAATGGAGTCAATGCTCGCAAATCACTCTTTGGAAATAGAAAAAAAAATTTTGGAATTACTCGAAAACATGTGTGCAGATTGGCATACAGCTTATGCAAGGCTAATAATATAAAAAATTCATTTAGCGTAGCAAAAACAGTGCTGGAATGAAATGTTTTCTGGGTTTATTGTAAGGCACATAGAATTGTCATTCTTTCATATGCGCGCATTGAATTATTCATCAGAGAAAATGTTGCAGCATTTTTTGATTTGTATGATCCACTTCTTGAAAAAATAAATGAAAATCCTGCCAGGATCTTCAACTGTAATGAAACTGGCCTAACCATAGTTCAACACAAGCATATTAAAGTTGTGGGAAGAAAAAGAAAAAAACAAATTGGTGCAACCACAGTTATGTGTTTCAGTGCAACAGGCCAATATATACCGTCCCTTTTGATTTTTCCACGTAAGATAATGAAAATGGAGCTTATGAATGGCACCCCACACGGGTCACAATATACGTGTCACATATCTGGTTGAATTCAACAAGATATATTTGTACAAAGGCTTCGCCATTTTATTATTATAGCTGAGCCCAGCGTTGACAATCCAGTGGTGTTAATTCTGGATGGTCATTACTCTCATACGAAAAATTTGGAAGTCATAACTGTGGCGCGAGAAAACTATGTTAACATAATATGCCTTCCACCCCAGTCGACTCATCGTATGCATTCTTTAGACGTAGCTTTAATGTCACCATTGAAAACCTTTTACGCGCAAGAGATCACAAACTGGCTTAGGCTCAACCCAGGATATGTTGTATCAGGCTATCAGGTGGGAGAACTTTTGGGAAAACCTATATAAGAGCGGCCACCATGGATACAGCTATAAACGGGTTCAGATAGAAACGCATCCAAAGAATATGATTTTGTGGCAGAAATGCAAGGAGCAATTGATGAAGAAAGAGTAGAAACAGAAACAATGGATGGAGAAAAAGTAGAGGAACACACAGTAGAGGAAAAACAATTAGATAACAACGAGCCAAAAGAAAAAATCCTTGAAAGACGAGTTACTTCTCCAAGACAGCAAACCGCTGAGAGACAGGTTACCCCTGAGAAACAGATTACCCCTGTAATCTTGATGCCTGTTCCAACTGCTTCAAAAGTTATTATCAAAAAGAAGAGTAAAAAAAGTGGAAAAGCAACTGTTGTAACTAGCACTCCATACAAAGAGGAATTAGAGGCCAGCATAGGAAAAAGAAATTTAACTTCGAATTCGGGCTCCAAAAGAAAGATTAAGGATTCAAAACCAAGTCAGCACAAAAAATTAAACATACCCAAAAAAAGGAACAGTCAATTGCTATAGAAAAAGCAGAAAAACCCAAGTTGGTATCCTGGAGTTCTTCTTCAGATTCGGCCCCTGAACCTGAGTGTCAAGGTTCAGATGACCAACAGGTAGAAAACTTTGTATTCGTACTCCGTACTCCGAAGATGTCAGAGGCGTAGAGTGTGTAATGTGTCAAAGCTGCTTCAAATGGGCTCATGTTGAATGTGCTAATTGGGAAAGAAATCCGTAGATTTGTGACTTTTGCATTTCTGAATAATTTGTTGTATTTTTTTTCTAGATGAGAATTTTTTCATGTTCATAAGGAACGAAACTTTTCATTAGATATATTTTTTGCATTTCCATAAATAAATATTTCTCAAAAAAAAAAATTACTTTTTATCAAATTTTACATATTAAATTAGGTACCCCATATTGAGAACATAGTGTACCCCATATTAGGATATCATATGCCTCTAATATGGGGTAGTGCATTTTTTTAATTCTGCATATTTGCATCTGCTTTTTTAAAAAACATGTTTCTTCTAATTGAATGCTGAATAGTATATCAAAACTACCTCCGTTTTTTTATGATGGTGTTTTGACAAAAACCACCCCATATTAGGAGACTTTCCTCTATGCCTCTACTCCGAAACAACATTTTGAATGCCCACGTTATTTTATAATGCAACTGATTATTTCTTACAGGAGCGCAAAATATTCAACTACAGTGTTCATTGTTCGATCCATCTTTGAAGTTGATGATTACTGGAAATCTTCGCATGGAAGAGGGAAATAAACGACCAGCCGGTTATTCCATTAAAAACCTGTACACGAAATCTTTGTTCTCAATGGACAGAGCCGCATCTGTGAACGTGAGCAAATTTTATTGAATTCCAAAGTTATAAGTACTTTTGTTGGCGCGTTAGGGAAAATTGATGAAAACCAACACCCTGAAGCTAGCTTCTTCTTCTTCAATTTATATGACCGTTGCTTCTCAGTCGAGCGCATTTGGCCAGACTACTCCTGTCCATAGTGAATAGAAGCGTCGTCTGGAGGCGCAGCTGTCTCACTCGATGAAATGCTGCCACCCTAAATTTTCGCATTCACTTTTTTTCATGAAACGCTTCATTTTTCAACTGGAGAGCCATCAGCCCTCCCAATATAACTCACGAACAACACATCTATTATCGTACCGACTGACAACCTCGTCGAATCCGTTGAATTCCAGCCTGGTTACCGGCGTAGGGGACAGCCAGTCCTCTCAAAATGTCTTCCACTTCAATATTTATTAAAACTTGACTTTATTTAAGAATAAACTAACTTTTGGACTCCACTTCAACTACGACAACCACATGCCACTTTTGAGAACTGTCGTTATCGGCACAACTGATCTCTGTCGCGATCGGAGAGGAAATCCCGGAAGTTAACTGGTCAACATTTTAGATTTTCAAAAAAAAATACCAAAATGTCAAAATTAATTGTAATGTAAATTTGAAAGTGTTGAGCATTTTTTTAAAGCTTTCGACAGCATTTCACACGATAAACTTTTGAAAAAACTTAAAAAATACGGGATTAGAGGCTTACCGTTATCCTTATTTAGAAGTTATTTATCGAAGAGAAAATCTGTCGTTAAAATAAAAAATAAGTTTAGTGAATCTTCGGAAATCAAATATGGTGTTCCTTAGGAAACAGTCCTCGGACCTAAGTTATTTCTTCTTTATATCAATGAAATGTTGAATATGGAAGTAGGTGGAGATATCATCTCATATGCGGACGATATGGTTCTCCTGTTCCATGCAACAAATTGGCAAGAAGTTACGAAAAACGCGGAAAAAGGTTTATATCAAATCAAATGTTGGATGGACTGTAATCTCTTGAGCTTGAATAAGAGCAAGACTAAATTCATAACTTTCGCAAACAGCCCAAAAGTTAAACCCAACCTGAAATCAATTAAATTTCATGAGAGATGTGATCTGACCAACTGCGATTGTAAGAAGACAATTCAAAACACTTCAGAAATCAAATATCTGGGAGTTATCATCAGTGAAATGCTTAGATGGGATAATCATTCAGTATATTTGAATAGCAAACTTAAAAAAACTGTTATTTGCATTTTATAAACTCAGAGATATTCTTCCAGAAAAAATGTTGAAAGTAGCCTATAAATCCTCAGTTTTATGGAGTATGGGGAGCTGCGTACACTAATCAGATAAATTGTTTGAAAGTCACACAGAAATGGATTTTGAAAGTAATACTGAGGAAAAGGCGCAGAATTTCCAGCGAACAGCTCTTCATAGAAAGTAAAATGCTCAATTTAAAACATCTCTTTATTTTTCATATTGCGAAATTCATGTACAAAAATAGAACGCAACACTAAGAGATTTCCCACACTCACAGTACAAGACAAAAAGGTCTGAAACATTTATATATTCCCCGTCCTAATTCCACCCTTTATAAGAAATCGATAGCATTCAATGGTCCTAAAATTTACAATTACATTCCAAAGTCCATCAAAAATATTCATAGTTATAAACAGTTCTGCAAAAAGTTGATGTCCTTCATTCTCATGAACTCTAGAGCTCTTGAAGTACTCATGCAATGAATGCCAATTTATAATTCTCGCAATTCCTCAATTTCTTTTAATATTAGGTTAGTCACTTAGCTCCTGATGATTTTAGATTATTTTCTTGATTTTCTTTATTATTATATTATTAAGGCTTATAATATATCACATATAAAATGTTCAAACACTAATTAATTAGTACTATTTAGGCACAAGACGGTCTCATCATGTTATCAGGTGCACTCAATTAAAAAAAAAACTGTAATGTAATGAAATTGTATTATTATTATTATTATTATATCATATTCAGACTTAAGAAGTGACAATATATCCCAAAGTTGATGGATACATAACAAATACATGAATAATTTCAGACGAATAATCAATTTAATCATAGCGAGAAATAATATAAAGGAATAGTATCAACACAAATATCAACACAAGCACAAGAGAGGAGAAACCAGGAAATTGGGAATAGAAGAGTATGTTTAGACTCATCAACACACCATCAAGTGGTCCCGAGCTGAGATCATCCACAGGTACACTGATTTAAGAGGAAGTTTGAAGAAACTGGGTATATGCGTCTAACGACGTATTCAGTCGAGCTAGCGTAGTGATACGCAACATATGGAAACCTTCAATCAAGCGAAAAAAAGTCATTGATTGAACCGTTCAATCTTCCATTCGAAACACACGTCGAGGTATCAGAAAACTCCAGTAATATTCATTACTACACCAAAGGTTCCAAACAGTGTATCACAAATACAAAGAATTATGTTTACCCTGGTTAACTCACAATATATTTTTTCATAGGTGCATCTGGTAGCAACCAAATCACCTACGTTTTTTTGTCCTTTTTTCAGTCAGTCTGTGATTCAGTGTCAGTTCTATATAATTACCTTTCTTGACAAATGTATCTTTGAAGTTCGGAGTTTTAGAGATTCTAGTACTTCTATCTAGGTCCTACTGGTGATGCTACAATAATCGATCCTTCTTCCTTGGAAAAATCTATCTTGTTATCTACTACCAATCATAAAATGACAGAGTCTTAGTAGTAATAGTAAAAATCTTCAATCAATCAGATCCCATATAACATGAAATAGGATACGTCACAAATGGAAACCACGAGGCAAATATTGATATAGTGAACAAATTAAAAATCAACAAAATATGAAGGTGTTTAAAATCCGATTGATAGGAAATTTTGCTGTTCATTATTTACCAAATTTTGATTTTTGCCTCTTTTCAGCCTACATAATGTCGTTAAACGATTTTTGCATTTGGCAATTACAGTATGAATGAATGCACTGCTTGGCGTCGGTTTGCGAAATTTCGGTCCGGAGATTTAAGTTTCGAAGATGAGCCTCAAAGTGATCAACCTACAGTAATCCAGGACAGGGATTCAGGGACCCTAGTGGAGACTGACCCATCATGAACGGTGCGTGGATAAAAAAGTGGATTCCCTACAACAACATGACAGTGGTTGGACATCAATGAGCTACCCAGGCACTTCCCATCGACCACAAAAAGACCACGATTACTGTATGCTGATCAGCAACTGGGGAGGTTCACTATCACTTTCTGCAACTGGGCAAAACCATCACAGCAGATTCCCATTGTGGGGAAATCGATGAAATGTACCGTAAACTGCCTCAGCAGTAGTCGGCACTGGTCAACAGAAGAGGTCCGATCCTGTTCCATGACAACGCACGTCCGCACGTTCCTCAAATCACCTTCTTAAAATCAAACGAATTGAGCGTGGAAGTCCAGCCTCTCTCCAACCGACTACAATCGTTCCAATTACTTCTGAGAATATATGTAGGATTCGTTAAACAATTGTTATATCAGTTTTTGTACAGTAGGTACATTTTGAATGAGAATAAAATTATTGGCATCGTGAAAAAGGCTCAACAATGGTGATTGGTTGATCTCTTGTTAGTCGTTCGATAGGAAATTTGAATGTTACCCGGAGATCTCCAGAGACTCCAGCAGGTTCAATTTCTGTCCTTCATTTTCTTTATGAGGTATGTCGTTGATAGTACTGAAATAGTGATTGTTCTCTAAAAGCTGGCACGCATAGGTGTATTTGGCCTTCTACAGTTCGAAATGTTTCAAAATTCTAGTTTTGAAATTTTTTTGAAGTCCTTTCTACACTTCTGGACATGATAATTCACCTCGTATAACATATCCTCACTATTTCTATTGGTACATTATTATTTTCAGCTCATTAGCGATATGGTATTTGCTATACCCACAGCCAGGCATGCCCACCTACAGTCAAATTATACTGACGTGTACTTTTACAAATTTTCTCATTTAGGAAAGTTGGGGCGACTAGTTAATGAAACAGTACCCGGTAAGTGAATTTTTTTATTGATAGTCGAACGATAAGACAGTCTTTTCCTTCATTGATATTATTATGTAGGAAGAAACAGATGATTCTATACAAAACTCATACCCTCCTGATATAGATGTATGATTATTCGAAATTTCAGAACTGAATCAGAATGGCGAGTTCCATATCGTGGTCGTTCCATGTTTGAAATGAAATATATAGTTCCATATCAAGAGTTAACCTAAAGATGTACTTGAATAATTATTACAGGGGAAGGATTTTATGTCAATAATGCTCAATTGAGGAACGGAACGTCGTCAACATAAATTGAAAGAGTATTTTTCAGGAGAGAATAATTATTGGGAAAAAAAGTTTTTGACCGCCTAGTTCTGTATCTTCTCCATCTAGATACAAAAAATGTGGGAATCTTCCAAAGGAAGGAAGCAATCAATTTCAAAAATTACCTTCATACAGAGATGTGTAGATGATGCAAAGAAGTAACTTTCAGACAAAAACTGGAAGAAAAAGCCCTCCCAAAACAGCTATTTTCATTCCTTAAAATTAGAGGATAGTTTGAGATTTTGCCTTTTCTCTGTGCACCTCAGACAGCTGTTGACGGGGGTATCCAATTAATAATTATCGAGTTTGATTGTAGTTAATCGAAAAGTAGATTCTGGATAGATTAAGATTCAGACAGTTACTTTTCACTACTCATTTGTTCCCTCACTTTCAATTTATGTAATGATCATCTGTGTCCGTTCATTACTCGAATATTTTGATTCGATATTGTTCCATGATAACAGTGATCAAAACGGCCTATAACCACGTATTAATATATTTACTCGAAACGTTTGTTTTAGTATTAGGTTCTTTTATTAAGTTCTTCAAACTTGATGCATATATATTTGCCTGTTTTTTCTACATAAGTTCGTTGCAAATCAATTTTTGACTTATTACACAGTTGGTAGAGAAGTTTGTGAATATTTCTATCTATATATCAATTCAATATAAATTTCAACCTTGGAGCTTCGTTGTTGACTTTTTGATTATTTCTCCAACCCCTTCCCTGTTGAATCTGTTCAACTGGCGCCGCAGGGCTTACTTTTTTCCATCTATTTCGACTGTAAAAAAAAACATATTTTCCTTACCCACGTCCAGCCCCGACAATAATCGACTAGCCTGGGCCGAACTACCATTTGGTAATTACATAAATACCAAGGTAGGTTATACTCTATTCCGTTTGTATTCCAAACATTCGTAATGCGATTGAATCAGATATCATTCCCCCCTTGTCCCCCTACCTGGCAGACCTGTTCATGAGCAAATTCGAAATGGAAACCAAAGTGTTTTTCTAGGATTTAGCTAAGGTATAAGGATGATATTTTCGCGATATTCGATACCAAAAAATCGAATATTGACGACTGTGTTTCCATTTTAAATAATAGATGTCCATCAATAAAATTCACGTATGAGTTAGAAAATGAGGGACAACTACCATTTCATGACGTTTTGGTAATGAGGAGCTAATATGGAGGGTTAGAATACGATATATTTAGAAAAGAAACAAGCACGTACAGGTATATTCCTGACAGTTCACGTCACTGTGGACAGCACAAACGTGCTGGGTTGAATTTTTTAGTGCATCGTCATTTGACTTTCCCTCTAACATATGATAGGTTCACAAAAGAAAGACATACAATACAGAAAATAGCAGCCACTAACGGTTTCTCGAGGGATATTGTAGATGACATAATAAGGAAAAAGAAGTTTAGGTTGAGAATAAACAAAATCTCGACTTTCAGAAAGGACAAAAACCAAGATAAATACATCTCAGTTCCATACCACCAATAAACGAGGATCTTTGGGAAGATTTTCAAGGAACTAGGTGGTTTTTAAAACATTACAGAGCCTTTTGGGAAGTCCAAAAGACAAAGTCGATAATTCGGAAAAGTCTGGAATTTACGAAATTGAATGTAAGGACTGCGATGCAAAATATTATGGACAGACAAATAAAGTATGAAAAACCACAAACAATGGTTGAAACATACATACACATAAAACATGCTAGGTTAAAAATGATCGGTATAGAACTTTGACTGAGTTCTATACCGATCTATACTGAGTTCAACCTCAAAACGAAGAGCGGTCACAGTCCGTCGCGTATCTCTGATATGAATCGCTATTGGTGGAATCAAATGTGCCAAGTCACTTGAACACCACTCGTGAAAGTATCTATAGAACAGAGACAAATATTCAACCTTTCTTCGATGTTCCAGGCTATCAAGATTGCACGTGATGTTCGCTTATCCAATCAGGCGGATGGTTCTTTTCTGAATGGAATCCAGCAACATCAGGTTATGTTTGGGGGTAGAGCTCCATACATAAGAACAATACTCCAAATAAGGTCTGATCTGAGCTTCTTTTGCTGAGTTGTGTACAGTTTTCTGGTTCGGAACAGTGTTCCAAGCTTTTGCAATTCCAGCGACATGATTTTGCCAAGACATGTTGGTGTTCATTTCAACCCCCAAGAAACTTATCGAAGTAGAAAGCGGAATTTTTCGTCCTGACATTATTATATCTGGTTCGGAGACATTTATCTTCTTGGGGAAAACCGATGCCTGGGTTTTTGTGGCATTGAATTGAACCTCGTCACTTTCATCCCAATTCGAAATCATTTCTAGATCCTCATTAAGATATGCAATCTCCTGCTGCCGGTGAAGATGTGCCTCTGTAGCCGATGTCCTGGAATTCAGATGGAATGACGAGACGATTGTGCTGTCGTCAGCAAAGCAATATATTGGATTCTTGTTTTTTTTCCAATAAGTCGTTGATATACAATAAAAAGATGGTTGGAGACAATATGTATTCCTGGAGAACACCAGCGTTGATGATGAAAGTATTCGAGATATATCCATTGATGGCCACTTACATGAAAATAGTTGTTTCGAAAGGGCCTTTTTTTCCAGATTGTGTCTCAAAGTTACTTATTTGCATGATCTACACATATTTCAGGGTTAATTTTTGAAATGGTTTGCTTCCTTCCTTTCTTTGAAAGATTCCCATATTTTTTGTATCAAGATGGAGAAGGCCAAAAACTTTCCGTCATCAACATAATATTTCACAGTTGCATCTACCAGACCACATTTTGAATGGACCACACATTCGAAGAAATAACTACATGAAGATTATGCAGACAAAGAAAATCCATCGTTGTGGTGAATACAGATCTCTACGAGAGAAGTTCGAAGGTGCTTTTCAGAAGAGGCAATAAAATGAGATAATGAGAAATTAACGTTGACACATCATCACAGCAAGCTAACATACTTGTATGAACTACGCAAGAAGCATGCCCTGCTTAGAACAATTATCAATTCCAGATATGTGGTCACCTACAACTCGTCAAGATTATATTTTTCAATTAATCAATATCTGAAATAAGAACCTAATTTTTTGATTCAAAGCATTTTATCGAGCTGCTCAACATCACAGTAGATATCAACTAATCATTTCAACAATGAAGAAAAGGCTGATTATCTTGAACCGTTTCCTTACTTCTTTTTTGATTTGGAGCAAGAAAGTAGCATTTGAGACCAGGTGGAATGACCAGCTCTTGATTTGCGGAGGCAAGGGTTTGAGTCAGTTCTAGTTTTATTTTTTTATAGAAATTCAGTTATAGGTGCTGAAAATGCTTATCAAATTGAAAGCTTTCATTAGGACGCCATCTACAGAAATTTCCAGAAATACTGCACCTCTTCTAAACACTCGTCACTGTAGACCAACTCAGTCACACTGGGATAGAAAACATTTCAAGCATATCAATACAACAAGCATCACAGTTCTTTTGACTTTTAATAAGGTTTGCAACTGTGATGTTCAATAAACAAAATAATCAATACTCGATATTTAATTTGAACCGTTACTCTATCAAGAAATTCGAGGGTCTAAGTTTTGAATTGCTTTACACTCTCTAACGCTAGCTTCAATAGGGGAAATAACAAAATACAGGGTCTGACCCTGGGGTTTGAAGCACTAACTTTTGATTGGAATCCCATTTTCAGAAACCATCAAGGAAACTCAAGGTTTTTGTTTTATACTCCTCCAACTAGACTCCTCTGATTCTTGAGATCCGAAAATCCGGCAATGTTTGGCAGTAACCACCTCAGACCTATGTTTCAAAGTCACAGCATTCTGGAAACTACAAACTGCCTTATAAAGTACTGTTCCCGAGTGGAGAGGACTGGATCCTCTGGGAGAAGGAAATATTGATAGCAGATAGTTGTTGGTTCACAGATGGATCAAAAACACTTTCCGGTTCTGGTGCAGGTATTTTCAGTCGCATACCTAAGACCTAAGACCTGCCTAGGAACCTATGCCACTGACTTCAAGTGGGAATTTTAGGCAATTGAATTGAGTGCGGAGAGATTGGAAAAATCCAACCCCATACACAAGTTATTGAAAATATTCTCGGACAGTCAAGCGGCGTTGTTAGATCTTGGCTCCTACCGGGCAACGTCTGAATTGGTAGCAAATTGCCATAAACGACTCTCCTCGATAGGAAGACTCAACAGATTGTCTCTGGTCTGGATTCCTGGCCCTACTGGCCTGGAAGACAATGAGGCTGCTGACTACCTTGCAAAGGAGGATGCTGCAAGTAGCTTCATTGGACCAGAACCTGTCATTGGCATTGCTTTAGGCTTTGCCAAACAAAGATTGCACCTAACCTGCAGATTGCACCTAACTTAGTGCAGCCAGAAACTCTCCTCATCGTGTCCAATTCATTAAATTTATTCCTGTTTTTATATTTTCATTTTTTATGCTCTTATTCTTTTGTGCTTTCACCTGGCAGAAGTATAATATTGAAAAAATCATTCGAAGAAAATCCTGACGACTCTATCATTAGTTAAAGTCAACAAATTCAAAATATTATTTCATATAACCCGCTTTAAAATTATTGTCTATATGTATAAGTTGGACTTTATCCTGATGAATGATTCTCAAAATGTCTAATCGAATAACTAGTACATGCTCTCTATGTGAAGCCACGCACAGAAAATACCCTTTCCTAATTCCATCTTTCACACATAGAATCGGTTTAATTCAGAACTTAGGCGATGCTACTACCTGTTCCATGAGTCCTTCCTAACATATATACAGAGGGCATCCACCGATGGTAAGACATTATTAGAAGTATCTCTGTCTGTACCTCACGTTAATCACTATGATGAATAACTATACGACTGAACAAAAGAAGAAGAGTACTTGTTGACGTCTATTTGTATACATAACTGCAGAATGAATAAAAATAATCAGAATAAACAATATGAACTTGGAATAGGTGTCAGCATTCTGATTTATTTGGAGTTCTGCTGCAGACTGCTTAGAAGAATTCCAGATTTGTAAAAATATAAAATAGAAATTTGAATAATTGAAATGTTACAATCTACAAGTTGAAATGAAAAAATGTGTCCAGATTGTCTCTCAAACAGTATAAGAGTGGACAAATACATTGTTACAATCTATTCAACGACGAGAATTTGGAAGCCAGAACTCCGTTAAAACTGCAGAAGTCATCGGAATCACTGTATGTGAAATTGCTATTTTCATTCCAGAAACGATTTCTCACATACATAAAATGGTTGAAAACGTCCCTAACATCATCATAGTGTCCACGGGACACATAACTAAACTCTTCCCTCAAATACCTAAACAACAATCTAACCATCACCATAAATCTCCAAGGACAGCATTAGTTGAGGCACTAATTCATCGTGGATCCTGTCTGTGTGACACAAATAAAACTCTTGTGAAGGCAATTGACGATATTAGCCAAAAGATGACAAAAGCTCTCAAGGAAAGAACCCGTTACAACCAGTGCTATACCTTCCTTTACAATACGTGAAATGGTGCTACTTCATTTGAATATTTTTCCTGCATCTTTCCTCCATCCAATATTTCATAAATTTCCATTTCAAGTTGATTGTTTGAGGTTTCCAAAGGAAATAATTAGGTTAAATCTAAAGTAAAAGGTTCATCGTTGTATAATTAATGACTAGATTGACCAGTATGATTATCCTCTTCCTTTAGAGACAGGAAGAGTCTCACTACACATTTTGTTGTTTTTCAAGGTGCCGAAGGGGTGGCTCATCAAGAAGAAATTGAATATCTATTTCGAAGTTCCAACAATAGAGATATGAGTAAATTTCCTGAAGAAGATAGGATCACACATGATCGTCTTGTAACCATGTGGTCGCAATTTGTAAAGCACTTGTGAGTATAAGAGTTTATCGTATAGTTTCTGAAGACAAACGACAGTCATTCTGTTCAAATATTTCATATTTTCATTAGATACTTTCACACCATGATATATGAATTTCGAAAATCACTAATTTGCCGGGAAAATTAGTAAAAGTGGATCAGGGAGAACAAACAATATAATGCAATGGATCTGTAAAATTTGTCATTTTTTTAGCAAAAACAGAATCATACTTTTTTTTAATAATGTTTTGTGTAATGATGATGTATACTAATGAAGAACCGTACAGCTTGGCAAATCTAGCTGTGCCTCTGAGATCCGCGTTTCTAGTGCTTTACCTGTTGACTATGGAGTACCTCAGGGCTCTATCCTTGGCCCCATTCTATTCTCTCTATTTATATCTGACTTCCATAAAATAATTGATTATTGCGCAGTTCATCATTATGCAGATGATACTCAGGTATATTATGGATTACCTCCAAGTAACTGGCAGGTGGCAATGGAAAAAAATTAACAGCGATCTACAAAAGTTACTGGATCTATCTATAGCCCATAACCTGAAATTGAATTCTAAAAAATCTCAGCTGACATTTTTCAGCCCGAAACACAAAAGGTGGGAAATTGAAGGAAGAATTGGACAAGACTTATTACAAATAATTACAGAAAGCAAGAACTTGGGTTTGTGGCTAGATGCTGATCTGAGATTTCACTTTGTCGTAGCTTGTACAGTATCTTACGTCAACTCTATCAAAGTAGAGATATTATGACTACCAAATTGAAGTTGAAACTTTTCGAAATCCTCATATTGTCTAGATTAGCAAATTGCGATATAATCTACGGGACTGCTTTGATACAATTTGATGTAAATCGTTTACAAAAAATACAAAACAATTGCATTCGTCTTTCTTATGGGGTGAGAAAATTGGACCATATATCCCCCAAATTCGAGGAGTCAGGTTGGTTACCGATTGCTAAAACCTGGCAGTTCCACCTACTCGTCAATGCACATAAATTCCTCATTTACAAAAAGCCAAACTGAAATAATGAAAGATATAAAACTTACAAATCTCAGAATAATTCGAGGACACGAAACCGTTATACTTTTATTATTCCAATAATAAAAGTATAACGGTTTCGGTTTCGGTTTCTGCTACCCCGATAGTCAATATCTCGGATGATAGTTGCATGAGCTTCCCTATGCGTAGGAACTCGTTTCACTTTGATATGGAAATAAATTATGCATCTGTGTAATATCGCTAAATCAGCATCATCCATCACAATTTTGAAATTTTCGATCAATTTTTTTCATATGGAGTTGTAAATGTTTTTTTCCCACACAATTTCTCTGATTTGTCCACTGAGAACCTTGTTTTTCAGTTTCCTTTTCAAAGGAATTTTCAAAGACAACAAATACCTCCCAGTTTACTACACAGGTAGCGTTCTCCACTCACTGTACTGAAACGATGTTCACTACACGAGTTCCTCGATGTTAATGAGCTCTCGTTTCCTTCACTTCGCCGGCTGATCTACTGCGCATCTAGTATTCAAAGACAGCTAGATTTAGCAAGCTGTAATTCAGTTGAGCGACTAAATGAAAAGAGTCCCACTATGCTGGATTTCTGTTTGTTATGCATTTATATATTTTGTAATGAAGACCTTCACTAGCATGTACAGTGCGGACGTAAATAGTGCCCCTTTCTCAACTTTTGAACGGAACAATATCTCGAAATCGAACAAAATTCACTCAAAATCACAATTGTTTGATAGGTATTTCAATTCTCTATCCAATACTTCTTCATTGTTGGAAATCGCATCAGTCGTTTCTGAGTAATTAGCAGTTTTATATTATTTCTTTAGTTCGGACTTCCATTGTGTAATATCATATAAATTGATTTGAAAACCCTGAAAGAATCTGTATCAAAACCCGAAGACGATTGTGGATACTAACAATCGAAACGTCGTTAAGTAACTTGGCTTGGAATCTTTCAATTTTCATTTCTTGTTAATATTTTTTTTAAATTTTCATCTCGTATTACTAGTTCAATTTTTCAATTTTTTGGTTGTTGCTTGTATTTTATTTCATTGTAATTTCAGTTTTTTCGCTCGATATAATTGTTTTTTTTTCAGCTAGTCTCTTTTTAATTTTTTACATATTCTTTCAGGGATTTCAAATCAATTTATACCACATTAGACAATGGAAGTCCAAACTAATGAATTACACCACGAAACACTGTCAACCACCTTCAAAAGAAGTTTTATATTAGTTTCAAACAAATGATGAATATCCTAATATCAAGAAAAAATGTGCTCTAGGCCCATTTCAGTCGATGATGATAATGAAGTTTGTTGAAAAATTTATTATGGAATGTTTCTGGAGTAATTACGTAAAGGGTCTCTTTTATTTCAACTATGAGCTGCGGTTGTGCAACGTAAACTTTATATTTCATCAATCCACAGAAAAATCTAAGGGTGTTATATCAGGTAATGAAACGGGTCGCTTTAAAGGACCATGTTTATCCATCCACTGGTTGAGACAATTGTCATTCAGCTACTTCAAACCAGTTAACATTAGTTGAAAACTGTTAGACAGGCAAATGTGGTTCTTCAGAAGAGCCCACTAGATCACCTGATAAGACGCTTCTAGATGTTTCTTAGGGATTACATAACATCTGAATTGTACGATACACAAGCACAATCCATTTCAGAACTCGAAGATAAAAGAGGCGCTTGTAATGAACTGGAGTGAGTTTTGAATAACTTTTTTTGGAATATTGATATTTATAGTTTGTTTATTGTTGCGTTCAGAAGTTTGAAGAGGGGGTATTCATGTCTGTATACTATTATATTAATACACTAAAAATCACCGTTGCGAGCATGAGAATTATTTTTTTTAGGAATCCAACGAAAGGAAAAAATGAGCTACTTCAGAATATTGTGTGGCCGAAAGTTACACCACAAGATTTTTTCTACTTGGATATTAATACTACATTGGCAGTTGCGAAAGACCTTAAAAACTTTAGACAATATGAAAAAATTTATTCATCATATGCTGAAGAAAAATTGTTTACATACTGAATAATCATATCTCACATTATGATATGGCTTTCAAGTCAGGATGAACAATGTATAAGAAAATAAATTCGATGTTTGAAAACTTACAGTTTCTTCCATTAATCTAGATTTATGGGAACAGTTCTCAGGATATTTTCCTGGCAAAAGTATTCTTACCAACAAAAAAAAAGAGCTCATGTTATTATGTCTTCCGAGTCAGAACATAAATATTCTGTGGGGAAAATGAAATATCTGTGTTTGAATTGAAATATACACGTTTTTAGAAAATATACAGGGTATAATTGGGTATAACTTATCTTAATGTAAATGGGCAAACAAAAAAAGTGACATCCTTCAGAAAGTACAAAATGAAACTTAATGTTTTCCAGTATTTCATGGACTGTTCAACATTTTGTGATGAAGATAAATCCATGTGTTTATTATCGTAGGAGCTCCTTTTTCATATAGAACCACGAAATCTGTTTAGCCCATAAAAATATTAGGAGGGTATTGAACCCGTAAAACTTTCCAAACATTCCTATGCGTTATAATCGAATGAGTATTATGACACCATTGGTTTGATATATTATTTTTGGAATTTCTTTGCCCTTAGCACTTTTATGAAAAGCCAGCCCAAAAAGGGCAAGGAAAATCTTCCAAATAAATATAGAACAGTCGCTTTGCTATCGTTTTGCTACTATATCCTTAAATATTTGTAAGGCTTCAACATCTTGAGCGATCAACAATATGGTTTTCGGAAACAAAGATCACCAGGCGACCTTGTATCGTATGTCGCCTATATTTGGAATAACGCAATCGAGAAACATGAAGAGTCAAGAGCTGCAGCGCTTGACATTTCTAAGACCAAGAATCCAGTATACTGCTTTACTGAGGACAGCATACTTGTTTCGTCATTCCATTTGGATTCCAGGACATCGGTGGTGGATGCTCCAGGAGGTTGCATATCTTAATGAGGATCTAGAAGAAATTTCGAATTGTGGTGAAAGTAACCAAGTTCATTTCAATGCCACAAAAACCCAGGCCGTGGTTTTCCAAGAAGATAAATGTCTCTGAACCAGATAAGTTTGTTATGGGTTGAAATGGACACCAATATGTCTTGGCACAATCATGTCGCTGGAATTGCAA